TCTTTCCCATTACCAATTATTCCTGTTTCTTCACCAGCATTAAATGCCTGGCAAATATCATGAAACAAGGCCCCAAACACCTTCCCCATAATCCTTTTATTGCCCCATCTCTCAGCCTGGTGCATACGATTAGTGTTACCCTGCCCTCCTTGAGGTGAAGCCAAATCAGGTTGCCCTGTGCCTTGTCTTCATATAATTTTTTGGCGCATCCTAGGACTCATGACAAGAACACCCAGTTTCAGTCATGAGTGGGCTAATTAACAACTGGATCCTTTGTTGGGCGTATCTGGAGTACACGCATATGCTGAGCTCTGGGGGGTCACCATGGCCTGAAACACTGTTGACTGGTGGAGCCCTTCCCAATGAACTAGTGGTAAATTGTGAGCCTTTGGCTTTGGACTAATATCATTCATAATTTATACTACATATAAATAGGTGCCAAAGTGCTGCTCAAAAGCATGTTTATGGGGTACCTGTGCTAAAACTTGCAGCAATTTCAGAAAAAGGGAAATGCATCAATTCTGGATAAATTAAGTACATAGGTACTATACACAAATTACTACAGCCATGTTTAATTTCAAGAGTCTGGTTTTAAAATTTGTTTCTCCCTTCTGTACGTTTGGGAAGAGCAGGGTTTGACAGTAAGAAGGGGAAGAGGCTACCAGGGGAAAAAACTGGGAGGAAGCAGAGAGCAAAGGGACTACTTTACCCCCATATTTAGTTTCCAGCTGTAGCAGTGGGAAGGGGACAAATTCAAGGCAAACCTCTAATAATTAGATTCTATAGCTGGAAAATTATAACAAATTTATAAATTTTCCATAAATAGAATCTAATTATTGGAAGGTTGTCTTATATTCAGGGTTATCTTCTACTTGAGTAAATACAGTGATCTATTTCAGAGACTTTCAGTGAAAGAAAAGTGCAGCATTTCCTTGCAAAAACTGTGCATCCTTGACCCTATCAGATTATAAGTTTTCAAATACTGTACTTAATTAGACTCTCATTAGGTAGTCCAGAATCATGGTGAAGCTGGAATCTCACTGAGGTCTTAAAAAATAGCTACCAGCTTAATGACTTTTCAGCAATAAGGAAGAAGTTTCTGAGCTTCTCTTTTCCTTTTCTGAGTACACTGCATATTCTCAGCAACAATTCTACCATGTCATACTCTACTACCTTCAGAACTCTTAGAGAAATGTCATCCACTCCTGGTAATTTACTACAACCAAGTTTCTGAAATTGCTCTTAGTTTTCTCCTGACATACTTAAGTTTGTTAAGGGCATGCTCTTATTTCCTGTGAAAAGTTACCTTGGAGTGGAATTTAGAGGAAGTTCAGAAAAGTACAATAATTCATTAAGGAGCTAGAGCAACTGACTCCCTTGAAAAGATTAAGTTGTAAGTATTTATAATGCTGAGTGATGAGTAGGAGGAAACGTGATAAAAGTCTGCAAAAATTTGAAAGGTTTAAATAGTAAGAAAGGAAGTACATTAAAGTGGTTGCCATTATAATATCACCTTAGATAGCTATCCTTACCAGCGCAGTATTTCAGATGGTAACTGCTGGTGAATGCTGACTTTTAAAGACAACTGTTGTAAGACAGTCAAAAAATGGCAATGGGATGAAAATAAAAAGAAGAGAATAGAGGCTGAATGCCTAGAAATATTTCCTGGCAGTGAAATCCATTAAACTATGAAATACCTCCCTAGTTTATTAGTTTGGGATGTTTAAATTTGTCTGGACTGAGCTCCAGTTAATGTACAATAAGAAAGAATACTTAATTGGCAAGAAAAGAGACACGAGTGCTCTCCACTCTATATTACTTTTATTACTTTATGTATTTCCTATGCAGTAAACATTGATTAAAAAAAAAGCTTTAGGGACAGTCAGTACAGGCTGGCTCTGCAACTAAATGAACCATCAGTGCTAACCATAGAGTCCCAACATATGCACTCCTGGGGCACGTCCACATGAGCATGCACATACCTCTTGCCCCGCCTCAAACCCCTTTGAGGTGGGACAACAGGCACGTGCAGGAACAATAAAAATGTTCTCCGCACTGCCAGAGTGTCTCTATGGTTGGCCCTTGCCCTGGTACTGAAACACGCAGCCGGCCAGGCCACATTTTTCAGCACCAGGGCTCTGGTGCCAGTGAGTAAGGGGTCGAGGGGTTGGAGGAGTGGGGGGAACCATGGGGGGGACCCCCAATGGCCTCATCCACTCCCCCAGTCCCCCTTCCCCCCACCAGCCCCCTGAGG